TGCTGTGAGACCTCCTTAAAAAATCCTTTAGTCTATGTACTGCAGGCCTTCTAAAAACCAAAAAACTCCTATGTTTGTATTCTCAATGTGTGCCTGAGGCCCTTTCAGTATCTAAGATTGTAAAGCTACAGGGAAAGCTCTAGAGCAGGGTGAAAATCCAGACATGTTTATTAGAAGAAAACTTGATTTGAAAAAAAAATAATGAGCCTTGGGGGTGGTTTGCACTGTCTGCAGTCATCAGTGCTCCAGATAAATGAAAAACCAGTGCTGAGGTGTGGTTATAGAGAGAGACCTCTGTCTGTAGGGCTGGCAGGGGGGTTGGCTGTGCAGCTATCTGGGGGCATGTGTAAGAGCAAATCATATTCTTATGGGAAAAGAAAGAATAGAGGTTCAGACTTTGCAAATAACATCTAATGTTTTCAGTAGTGGAATTGTATCTGCAAATTTTAATTGTACAGGATTTCAGACATATGACTTAATGCTTTGAGAAATTTCAGTAGCAAATCACTATATGAAGTAGGAAAGCTTTTTGGGGAAAATAATAATCTTTATATTTCTCTCTCTTCCAACATTGGAGGTATCAGAATTGGCTTTTTTTTTTTTATTAGGCTGAATTGTGCATTTTCTTAGGGAAAACACAACTGTATCCTCTGTAAGTAGAAGAGGAGCTGTAGTGGTAAATATCTTTATTGGAAAGTGAACTTCTTTATCTAGCAGCACTGTCAACTATTTTGTTATTCAGTCACTGCTAGGTATGTCTTCCTTTCTGCCTTCTCTGTTGCACTCACTAAGGCAAAGCTTCCTTCCCAGATCTGGTTTCATTGACACTTGCTCAGTTCCATGGGCTTTGCCTTACTGACATGTTGGCCTCCCTCATAGCTTTGTTGAGGGACAACCAACAATCCTGCTCCTGACTACAAATAAATCTGTCGAGTTGGTATGCTCAGAAACTAAAACCCCTCCTTTATGCAAGGCATCCAATCTGCATTCCAGTTCCTGAGATGGAATTGGGAACTCAGCACTCATATGTTGCAGTACAGTCTGCAGGAAGGTGTTTGTTTATGGCTTAATTTTTCTTCTTTCTCAGTAAACCTGTTTTGTTTTATGGAAGAATGTGTCAATTCAGACTGGAGCAGAGTCAGGATATGTATTTACCTCACCACTAGAGTTGTTGATGAGCAGTGTGCAATTTCCAGTGCTTCCAGTAAAGGCTGAGCTCTAAGAATGTTTTTAGGATGAAGGCTGGGAGGCCAGTGCTGCATTTGTCTAATAACAAACTTGGATTAACTTAGGTTGGTTTAACCTTTTTAGCCACTGAACTTTGAGGAGAGCACTTGTGGTTTGCTACTCCTTCACAGGTCATGCAAGCAGCTTTCCTCCTCTGCAGTATAAGCCTGGTTGTGCCTGGAAAGGGAGTGGGAACTTAGAAAACCTGCTCCTGCCTACTGCAGGAGAAAGCAAGAGGAGCATTGAATGCTGGTGCCTGATCTTCTCTGTCAGATAACAGTGCACAGGAGGAGGTGTTGGTGGAAGTAATTTGTCCTTAAACACCTCTACTCCTGCCTTTTCTGGGAAGGGAAGAAGTGACAGTCTAAATGGAGTCATCTTGTGGAGTGCCACTGGCTGCTCAGTGACCTGTTGGGTCCTGCTGACCTGAATGAGGAAGTATCCAGCAGCTGTGAATGAGCTTGCTAATGGATTTAGCCTGTGCCTTTGAGGGCTGCAGTTGGAAAGAGAGGTTGGGGCCCCATAATCTATAATCTGTACAATTTCTCTGCTGAGCAAATGGAGTTCTGTAAAGGCATCTGAAATAGATACACACAAAGCTGACAGCATGCTTCAGGATGTGGGAAATGTTGGATAGAGTGATCTTCTGAGGTGGTGATGGCTCTGATGACTTTATTGCTGCTGTTGCCAGGTTTATGTTCAAGTTCAGTTAATTCTTTGACCTTTCTGTAGGTGCTGTAAGCAGAGCAGGACAAGTGTGAGCAGTCTGGGACTGTCTGCCCGGGACACGTGCGCACGTTGGGTTAAACATTTCTGGGCATTCCTGAGACTCTGACATTCACAAGACTGGTTAAAATTCTGTTACCTGAGACATGACCTTGTTAGATTGGTTCACGTATGTCTTGCGTGCCACAGTTTGCCTGCCAGATATAATTGAATATATATTTGTTTCATGTAGGTTTGGATAGACGAGAGATGTAAAAAAAGGGATTTTAAAATGTCATTTCAAATAGTACATTTCTGTCATAATCTGTCAGGATTAGAGAAGAAGAGGGATGAAAATGAATGTAAGAGTCAAGACAGAAGTTGAAAAAGGAAGGAACATCTAGTTTCATATTAATCAACTTAAATGCCTAGTTTAACTTTTGCTGGAAATTTTCCATTTTAGCATGATTCTAGTTCTGAAGACAAGTACAAGTGATAATTACAAATATATTTAGGTAATCCTTTGCTTATATGCTAATTTGTTATCTACAGTTTTAAAAAAAGAGTCGTTTTAAGTTTCCGAGTTATAAATAAGCTAAGAATGAATAGCAGTGTAAATAATTTTTTTCTATAAATAATAATACATCTTTTTGTAATTTTTCATGACAAGCACTGGATTCTGCGTACTGGAAAACAGTAGGAATGAGTCTCTATTTAATCTTGTATTGGAGGTATTTTAATTATGAGCTTGGTCAGTCAGAAGAACATCTCTGTAATTCACTGTTGAATTTAGCATCTTGCATTCTTATATATGGCCTGGTATGAAGCTCTGTGAGAATGACCAAAGCTCTGCAAAACCTCACTCCACCCAGAAGTAATCAAGAGTTCTGTTATTTAACCCAGGCACAGAAAGCAAAGAGGGTGACAAATCAAAAGTACCTTCATGGCAGGCACCTGGGGATACATCTGTTAACAAAAGTTTAAGTTGTGCAAAATGAGAAATGTCTTTTTTGGAAGGAGGGGAAGCTTGTTTTTCTTTTAATGAAAGAATTACTGGCATATCATCCCTCTGGCAGCAGTGGAATCTGCTTCTTGGCAGTCGCTGAGGAGAACATCCCATTTTGATTTAAAGATTATTTTCTGCTTCAAACAAATTCCTGTAGTGGTTCCCATGGTTAATACTGCATAGGAGTAGCAGGACAAGTGATTTACAGCCCTGCTGTTTTATGAAGCACAGCCTTTTATGCATATGTTTTCCTTTTTTTGGTATTTTTTCATTTGTTACATCAAGGTGCTATGGTTTTCTTTGATTTGGACTTTGTGTTCAGCATACATTCAATGCATGTTAACCTTACACTTTTTTGTGTAAATGTTCAAAAAACTAATAAGCAACTTGTCATTTGTTAATTATTTTTAGCCCTCTAACCATGTGAGTTCTCAGTTGTTACCTTTAAATGTTTTGAAAAGATTCCAGGAAGTGTGGTGCTCTACCTCGTGGAAGCTTGTGCCATCCTCTCCGAGTTTTCTCCTTCACTTTGTTAGAACAGAGAACAATTTGAAGTTTTCCACTATAGAAGGACTGATTGTGAGGTTTCCAGGCTCACCACTCTGACTTGAGAGTTCTTCCTCCCAAGGGTGCACTGAAGGGTGCTTTAAGATGTTTTTGGCAAAGTCATGAACTGGATGCAGAGGGGAGTTTTGTGCTGAGAAAACGTGCTCTGAAGTTAGGATGTAGCTGGTATGTGGATGACTGTGCAGCACCCAGTTTGGCCCAGACTTGCCAGCCCTTTGGGTTTCCAGTTAGCTGCAGGTTGGTGTGCTGTGCTGGCCCTGCAGAAATGTGAGTTGCTGTGGTTACAGTGGATTGGCAGGATGACTCCCACAGTAATCCCTCATGGCTGCGGGGATGGGTGGGAGCAGCTCACATTTGTGTTGTGCCAGGTCTCGGGTACATCCCGTGTGTGTTTTATGATAAGAATTTTCAGAAGTGTTCCAGGAGGCTGGTTTAAGCCTGTGATGTTTTATCTGAAGATTTTCACTATAAAGGGAGGGGAAAGGGGAGGAAAGAGAGAGAAAGGTTTCTGTTCTATGTTAGGGGGATTCCAGGGAGCTCTGCCTGAACTCTTGGCCTCCCAGACCAGTGGCTGTGCTAAGCCCAGTGCTGGGCATGATTTATTCTGTGGATCTGCCTTAGGACAGACCAAAAGGTCTGCTCCCCCCACTCTCCTTCACCTGCAATACTCTTGCCATCTTTTCCATGCTGCTGCCGTGTTCAAGAAGATCCAGCCTTTCCTGAAATTTCAAATATTTTTAAAATTAGAAGTCTTGTTTGCCCCAAATGGAGCCCTGCTCTATCTTCAGGGAAATTTCATGTGAATTAGTAGCTATGCAGATTTAATAAGCTACAGTTTTCTGTCTTATGATGGAATATTGTGTCCTCCTTTTTTTCTTTTTGCATTGACCATGAGACTTTTTATCATATGTGCACAGGTGGATGCTCTCCCAGTCATCTCAACCTCTTGTTTATTGACTTTGACCCTCTTTGCTTTTATAATTTAGCTTAAGGTCTTATTAATGTACTTAAGTGTGTTAATATTTGGAGATTTATATGAATGCCTAGTGGCTTTAACTGTCTTAAAAGATTATTGTTTGCTACTCACTGGTCTATTACACAGTTGTCTGTAGTGCTTCTTGTGGCAGAAATCTTTGCATCCCCCTAATGAAGCTCATTTGTCCTCCGTGTCATCCTGGTGTTCAGTCATTGAGGCCTTCAACCTGATCTGCAAGAGTGCCACAAATGAAGCAGTTGCAATTTTGGGTGCAACCTGGAAATTTCTGAAATTTTTGCATTTGTTTTAATTTAATTTTTCTGATAGTGGATTGAATTAAGAAATTTTGTAAGCTTGAATGAACTCTGATGTGATTTTTTTTTTTGAGTTAGAAGTTCTAACTTGCATGCTTCTATTATTTTACCCCAGAGCTTCCTTGCTTTTTACTTTTTATTGTGGATGCTGACATGACTCATCAATCTGGCTACAGAAATCTAACTCATGCTTTGTTTTCTTTAGGCAATCAGTGTTACTGAAACTCTGATCAAACCTTTGGAAAGATTTAGGAAAGAGCAGCTAGGAGCTGTAAAGGTTTGTCTCTCTTTTCCTTTATAAGTTTGTTTTGTTTCTCTACTTGGATTGCATTTTAATAATGACATGTAATTGGCAGGAACATATTATTGTTTATGCTTCCTGTGTTCGCACTTTTTTTGTTTCTACTTTGAGAACTTGCTTCAGAAACAAATGGAATGTGTCAAGAAGAGAATAATGTGTCCTCTCCCTTCCTTCTCTCCACCACCCTTACCTCCTCTGTCTGGAATAGGAAGAATTCTGCTAACAGCTTGCCCCCCCCTTTTCAATGGGTAACCCTGTTCTGCTTTGTATTTGCCTGCAGTTGCACAATCAAGGGCTGAAAAATATTAACTACCTAAAGAAGCTCACTCATCCATATGCTTTTAACTACATTTTTGCCACCTGCAAGGGAGAACTGCCTTTATTTATTTTTTTGTTTTGAATAAATAACTCACTGGCTCTGTATGCATGGGAATAATAGGGATGAAGAGGCTGAGGGCAAGATCTCATTGAAAGTATTTTTGATAAAAGCATTTGGTCATTTTTTTGAAGATTGTCATTAAGTTGTGAATATTTTTTTAAAAAGCTAAGTGAAATTTATGTATTAAGTACAGACTAGATTTGGATAAAAGTAACAAGGACAAATTTGTGTCTGTCTGCCTTCCTTGCAGAAGGAAGAGAAATTTAAGTGTTTATTAAAAAAAGTAGAAAAGAAAGAAACTAGCATTTTATTAAAATTTACTTTTGTAAAACTCAATACATTTTCAAAATACCTTCATATGGGTTATTTTACAATTTCATGTCTTCATCACCAGTGATATTTAGTGATGATAAGACAATGTTTCACTTATGAGAGCATTATGCATTTTGACTTTGGCAGGAATGATTAACATGTCTGCATATGATTTCAGTGTTCATGAACTGAAAATGCTCTGTTAAACATAAATCCTTTCAGCTCAATGGTACAATGAGCTTTGTGCAATTTTATGGACTTGAGAGAAGTATATTAGGTGACCCAACCCATGCACAATAAAAACTTGGTTTGTAATATAGCCAGTCTTCCAAGGAAAGAGAGAATTTGTTCTGAATGTAACTGATTGTCATAGAAACAGCTGTGCAATGAATGCATTATTTCAGCAGTATTTTTGTTGTTAAAAAATATTGCTGGTTTTGGGGTGAGAACTCCTAATGGTTTGAGTTATCTCATATCTTCACTCATTTCCTAGTTAGAATTCTCTTCCCGATGCTTCTAACACAAACTATGTTCACAAAGCCTACATCTCCCATTTTTTTTGGATGGATGTTTCTTTCCTTGTGTCCCTGCATACTGTTTCTGTGAAGCTGTAGGTTTTATTTCTGATCTAAACTTTTTTTTTTACAGAATTTTGTCAAAAAGGGAATTTAAACCTTTAAATAGAAGTCTTACATAATTACATAATGTCTAAATAAAAACCCTCTAAAAATATTTAGCTCTTGGAATATTCTTAACTGAATATTTATTCAATATAATCTAAACACTGACATTGGAAATATAACTCTGCTTAGCTCTGAAAACCAGCCTATGGCATCTAGTGATGAAATATATCTGCAACATTGTGTAGTATTTGCTTCAGGAAAGATTTATTCTCTACCATTACAAAATAAAAGTTGAATCTGCTGCCTCAGATTTTTTCTGCATCTTACATCCCTTTGCTGATGAAATGGTCTGAGTTAAGCTTAAAAAAAGGAAGGGGAGGAAAGTTTAGCTTCATAGAACTGGAAGCTGAGACAATTATTGAATTACCCCTCATTGAAAAGTGTTGCTGCACTAATCCCAAGCTATGTATGTAAAGTTTCTGACTTTGCCTGTTAAGAAGTTAAGAGAATTCTATTTTTTTTTTTTTGGAGCACTCAAATGTCCACCACATCAATGGAAATTTTACTAATATAAACACAAAGATTCACCTATTTCCCTGCACTTTGGTCATAATTACCCACATTGCTAATATGTTATCTCTAATCACCCTGATACTATATGCATATGTTCATGTTTCTCAGTTGATAACAAATGTTTTTTAGGACTCATTTTTAAAGGAAATTTTGACTGTCAGAGTGGGGGAAAAAAATTCTGGTAGAAGTCCTTGCTGAGAAGCAATCCTAAACAGCCTCTTTAACATAATGCCATTTTCAGAATCAAATGGTTCAGAGAGCAAAGATGTATGTCTCTTCTAATACAGTACATATAGTAGTGTTCAAAATGAAAGGTTAAGAGGAGAAAAAAAGAGCAATTATGTCTGTAGAGTTTAACCAGGGGTTTGGTTAGAATACATTTAAATGTGATTTCAAATCTATGGATGAGGAAAAATATTTTAATTGAACTAGTATATTTCTGATTATTAAATCTGCCAGTTCTTGAATATGTAATTAAATACTTGATTTTATTTATTTGAGGTTATTTTCAACTGCAATTAGATATGCTAAAAATAGCTTCAAAACTGGTTGGTTGAATTCATGAATACTGATTTTTGCCTTAATACAGTGGAACTGAGGAATCAATTTGCTTTTCAATATCTTCTACTAAATTAGATTCAGAAACTTAGATTTCCTAAAAAAAGTAATGACTGTCCTTCTTCTAATACATTGTTTTTGGTGGTCAGAGAAACGGTTTTGCATTGTTCAAATGATATTCCTACATGTCAGTGAGAGTTTTTCTTTTCATACTATGATATTAAGTTTTATGGATATTTTTTCTTGAGTTTTTGTCATGGGCACAATAAAACTCTGGTAGAAATGGGAATTCAGCACTGGGGTTGTTGTATAGCATTAAAATGAAGAAATCCTATGGAATATAGAGGTGTATTTCCTTTGGGTTTTGAGCTGTTGGAACTTCTCCCTTGTCAATTTTAAAAAGTTATTTTTTCAGTGAAACTGATATTTCCATGTAATGCCTTTTATTCAAAAACAAGGTGGTGTGGATGATGCCTGAAAGTAATGAAAAATGCAATAAATCAAGAAGAGGCCAGATTTTTTTCTTTTTTGACTTAGAAGATGTAAGCATCTGTGTGATAAGCTACACCATAATGATGCAATGGGATTTCATTTCAAGTTAGCCTTTAAATTAATTCTTAAAATGAGATGAAGCATATTTTTCTCTGCTTTCTGGAGCTATGATTTTTTTCTCTTTGTTCCTGATGAACTAGAATTTTAAAAGAAGAAAAATAGTACACTTCTATATTGACATGGTTGCTACTTTGTTTCTGTATCTAGGAGGAAAAGAAGAAGTTTGATAAGGAGACAGAGAAGAACTACAGTTTGTTAGAAAAACATTTGAATTTATCAGCTAAGAAGAAAGAACTACAATTACAAGAGGTATTGTTGCCTCTCTTTTTTAATGCAGGCCAAAGGCTTTGGAATGCAGAAACAGCATTCTCAGTGGTAAAACAAACCAATTTTCTCATCTGGAAAGGTTGGTGAGAAAACCAATATTTGCTGAACTTAGTACCTCCACCATTTTCTGAATCAAGGGTTTTGTGTGTATGAAGCACTGAGTCTCATGTCATTTTTCATATATAATTGGGGAAGAGGGAAGTGCAAACATACTGTGAAAAACACTGAATTTCTTACAAGGCTTTACCATTCATGTAATTTGCATTGCATTATGAGTATTGACTGAATGTCCTGTGCTAGCACTTACAGCAGAGGACAACAAGACTTTTATTCCCAAATAAAGTGCGTTTGTGCCTTTGCTTTTTCTCACGTTTTGAAGATTTGTTTTGGGGTTTTTTTGAGTAGTGCTATAAAAAATTTGTTGACAATTTGATAGATTTGTTTTGCCTGGCATTCCTTCTGGTTCCCTCTGGGTTTATTATCATGATCAACTTATTTGTAATAGTTTTTATTTCTGGAGCAATGGCAAATAGTATGTGAGAAGACTGCTGGGAAATCTTGTAGAGACTTGCTGTAGCCAAAAGGACTTTTTTTCCCAGATAAATGTAATTATGTCAGAATTATTAATGCTTAGACTATAAAAAACCTTAATGTTTTCCTCAGAGGTAACTCCTGTCCCTGCCCTCTACCCCACCCCAAACATTCTATGCCATTTTTCATAAAAATGGTTAATATTACTGGCAAAGTTACCCTGGAATTTCTCTACTCTTGAGTTTCACTAAGATGTCACTTCACCATGCTGCACTTGCAACATAGACCCTCAAATGTGTAAAGAAATGTCTTTTGGGGAGTTGAGCTGTCCCAGTGAAGTTATTGGGCATGGCTCATGTGTCAGGACCTGTACTTTTGTCAAATTGATCAGCTGCCAAACAACTTGACGCAGACAAAATGATAAAGGGCTGATTATGATCGCTTGATGAAATATGGGTTCTTGATATCAAATCTGAAATGAGACCTAACTTCAATGGAAAAATACATAATGACTCTAAGAGGCATTTTGAAGCTGTCTCAAATATAGCCTGAAGCTTTAGAGCATGTGTAAAATCTAGAATGAGCAAATAGATTTGTTTTAAATGTCCTTCAAAGTTTCATGAGCAAAAATTCTGAAATTCTTCAATCAGGCTCTCACATTTATATGTTTAATTTTGGAGTACAACTGTATAAGAAAAAAGGCCCTTAGGGCATGTTGTCAGAGGAGATCGGAACCAATTTCTTGCACAAACTTAGAGAACAGGTATATATAGTTGCATTATAATGTATATAATTTAGTTTTATCCATGTTTAGTTCTGTCAGTTCCTGACTGGAGTAAATAGTGCAGGGATAAATTTGACAAAAATTTTATGAAAAAAGTGCCATGTTGTGGAGTGTGTCTTAACAGAAACACAATTTTTAATTCTCCTGGTTCTGGGATATTCCTGTAATTTTACTGAGGCACGGTGTGTTTCTCACTTCTGTCTTCAGCAGTACACAAACTACAATGCAACTTGCTGGGTGCATGGGGAGGCTCATGCCTCAAAAAACTGAGAGGTGTGATAAAGTATTCTGGACTGTGTGGTGGGCCAGATGTCCTCAAAGATCCACTTCAGAGTCTCTTTCTAGGGTGTTGTGGTACCCTGCATGTGTATATAATTAGAAGCTTAGCTGACAACTCAAACAAGTCCTGTGTTTGTAGGCAGACAACTCAAACAATTCCACAGTTTATGGGATGCATCAAAATGGCATGGCTTGTTGAAACATTTGCTTACTGAAATACTTATCAGGGCTTAATTTATTTAATGGCATTTGTGGTTATGCCCCTTTAACTGCTGAGAGTTCTCCAGCACAGAGCAGTAAAGCCAAGCACGTCTTAAGGCAAAACTGTCTTAAAGCTAATTTGGTTTATCCTCTTAAAGCACAGCAGTCAGTGTTCTGCCTGAAGGATGTAGTCCCAGTATTTAAGAGAGAGTCTGATAGTAAGTCTTGTCCTTTCACCTAACCCTTTTTCCACTTCCTTTGGTAATTCACTGTAGATGCATTTTGTATTATCTTTGTGGGCAAAGACTAAGTGTTAGTTACTTAGAGTTACCTTTCCTTTAATGTTATTAAAATAACAGTTTCTATTACTAAATTTTAAGATTAATTTGAATGAATCTTACATGTACCTTAAATAACCACTTCATTAAAAAATAGGTAGATGCTAGAAAGTGAAATATTTATATGCAGATGGATGTTAGCTGAAATGTAGCTATTCAGCATCAGTGTGGTGTTGGCATTTCTGCAAAGCTGTGCTAAATATCAGCTGCAGGTAGAAAGGCTGCATTTTTAGACACTGGATGCTCTGGGGAAACTTGTGGGGTGTTGTACCAATAAGTGAACTTTTTTTTTATTGCATTTCTTGCCAATGAGAGTGAACACAGGTGTGGGATGGGTACAGCAGCATTCTGGCTATTTAACAGCAGTTATTTGGGTTATAGGGTAAAATTTACAGCACCAGCACTGTAGTTTTCAAAAATAACATTTTCTTCCTTAATTTGATTGGAGAGATGATTTCCCCCTTTTCCAATGGATAATGCTCTTAGCTCCCACTCTCTGTTTGGACAGGTACCTTTGCAATGCTGTTAAAAGTTGGATTCCCTAGAAAAGAAGCTTAAAGAGGTGTTGCTGGAATTTTTCTAAAAAATCTAGCCTTATGATTCAAAGCAACATATGTTACCTACTGAAAGGGAATTGCTGCTGCTGTTTAAAAGTCAATGAATGATCTATGTTGTAACAAATCCCTCAAATATGGTAAAAATTATCTGCTTGCCACTTCTTTGTGTGTGTTATCCTGAAGCTGTCTGCACAGTGTCTGTGAAACTTCATGAGGTGTGCTCTGTGTGCAGGCAGATAACCAAGTGGAGCAGAACAGAAAACACTTCTATGAGCTGTCCCTTGAGTATGTGTGCAAGCTGCAGGAGATCCAGGAGCGGAAGAAATTTGAGTGTGTGGAGCCTGTGAGTATCAGGGAATTCAACCTACTCTTCCTTTCATAGGGGATGGAGAAAGAATGCATTTGGGCAAAAGCCAAGCTTTGCTTTCTGGAAAACACAACCAATTGAGTGACTTAACAGAATTTGAACTAACCTGTTACATCTGTACAGATTCCTAGTGCAGATAAATTTAACCAGGCATGTCAAATCTTACCTCAGTAATAAGAACTGATTTGGCCCCACTGATGTTGATTTTCAGAAAATGTGTGAAACCTTTTGTGGTACTCTAAAAACCTCAATTCACATTGTGAGATAGAGGAGTCAAGAAGATGATGGTGTCAAGATTCTTGCCTTCAGTTTTCTAATCAATGAAATGCTATTGCTGACTAATGCAAGGAATCTAATTTTGATTATGAAGGTTGGGCTCAGAGTCCTGCTAGTAAAGAATTGCAGATATAAATCAATTAGGAGGGTGCTGCCCATTCCTGGGTAGCCTGATATGTTTAATTTCACTTGCAGTTGAATCTATGCAGAAATCAAGGAGTTTAATTTAATTTTGGTAGAAATGCTGCATGCACTGATGAGACTTTCTTAAATCTATGAGAAGAACTTATAAAAGTTTTCTGAAATGTACAGTAGCTTGGTATTTTAAATACAAATTTATCAAACAACAAGAGAACAGTAAGTGTAATAAACTGAGAATAAATGGAGGATGGATTGTAGAAGCAACTTCCATTCTCTCATGCTCTGAAGTCTGTGCTTTTGGGCCAAGTTTGTCCTTTTATTCTGATACAATTGCTTTAATGTAATAATGAAAGAAAAATTTCAAATTACCCTAATCAAAATAGCTGGTCATAATGCAGTTATTAAGAACTGTCTATTCTAATAGAGATCATTCCTGTATGAAAAAAAATGCTAAAATACTTAAGGGGGAATAAATTGCTGCAATTATATTAGCATTGAAAGGCAAAAGGATGTGAAAAGTGAGGTTGTGTGGCGTTTTTCTGTTGTAGATATGTTGGCTTTTTCTTTTTTTAAAAAATATATTTCTAACCCGAAATTTGGTTATTGTGTTTCAGACTGTTTGAAGTTTCCTCAGAGCCAGACTAGAAAAATGAATCTTCAAATTATGTTCTTGCAATGTGTCCCTTTCTCATTTCTGAAAGCTCCTTCTGGATGCGGCTATACTTTATGTTGCCTAATTTTTAATTGAAGTTTACACTACACTAGAAAGTTTTGTACCAAATTCTTACTTCCTTTTCCCTTAATACTTAAAATTTATGCTTTTTTTTTTTCATTTGTTGAAAATACCTTATTTGCTATATGACTTGAGACTTTTATTAAATACATTCTTTGGCTTGCTCTCTTTGGAGAGTTGCTCTTTAATGTCTCACTTGCTTTGTTCCAACAACCTGGACTAAACAGGAGAGTTAGACAGGACTACACTTCATGCTGCTTCCAGTGTAGTACAACTTGTTTGCTGTTTTAAATTGAAATACTAAAGTCAGCATATGCTAAATGGGTCACTTGCTGGCTCCGACAGAAGGTCAGATCTGTGCACAAAAAGCAGCAATGGGCAAAGCTTCCTTCTTGCAGCAAAGCAGATGTGAGAGATGACTGATGTGACAGTCATCTCCAAGTGGTCGTGAGCAGAGAGAGGAATGACCAGGGAAATGGTGACGAAAGGACAGAATGCTCATTACCTCCTTGTGCACAAATATGTGTTCCAGACATTGGTATCAGAGCAGTTGGAGGAAAAAGTTACATAGGAAAGTTTGGGAACATGGGATATACATTTCCTATGGTCAAATGGAAAGTAGAGATCAATTGTGAAATTCCAAAGACAGGACCATCCAAAATGTCTGTATACGTAGATAATCATAATGTATAGGCATTAGTGGAAATTTATTTTAAAATAATAATTTTGTAATTTGTCCTTCAAAAAAGCCTATGTGCAGCAATTGTATTGAAGAAAATGGAGTTTTTTGTTCTAACGAGTCTTTTTTTTTTCTATTTCAGATGCTATCATTTTTTCAGGGTTTGTTCACTTTCTATCACCAGGGATATGAACTTGCTAAAGACTTCAGCCATTACAAAACGGCCTTGCAGATGAATATACAAAATGTAAGTTGAGTCTACTTTTGTGAGTAAAATCACTTGGTGAAGTTGCTGCATATGCAGATCTGTATTGCCAACCCTTAGAGTTCCATGTGAGTGCATTGCCTGTGAATTTTGGGGATATAGTGCCATCTCCTGGATAACCAACCACATCACTGAACAAAACAACACTAATTCTAGTGAGTCCTTTGTAATTTCTAGTAATACTGTAAAAAACAAGCATGAAGTAAAAGGCCTCCACTCCTTTTTTACTTTTTTTTGGAGATAGAAAGTATGCAAGGATTATTTAAAATGAATGAAGTCTGTTAAAAATGCATAAAACACTGGATAATTGAGAGTATGGCTAATGAAAGATTAACTTCTCAGTGTTTTGGGTGTGCTTTGAAATTGAGTATGTGGTGGTCATGCCTGAGAGTCATTTCCCTGTAGGGTTACATTACCCATAACTAAGAAAAGGGAAGAAAACCAGCTGGTCACAGCAGTGTGGAGTTTGTCTTGCAGCAGCCCTTTCAAACAAGAACATCCCTGTTGGTTTGGGGTGCAGAACTGTGTAAGGAGACTTGTGTTGGCACCCATTGCCTATTTGACAAAATGATCTGTTCCTTCAAGGACAGGCAAATGGGGCCACCACTAGTTTAGTGTGCCCTCATCCCAAATCTCCCAGTGTGATCTGGACTGGGAGAGCAGGAAACAAGGTGAAGGCTGGAGCAGTGGGACTGAAAGTTACTAGTCAGATGGTCTGTTTGCTTCCTTGAGATTTATGAAGAATAAATCTTGCTCAGAGGAACTTGGGTGTGCCAGAGGCCTCTTGGTAGGAAGCACACCACACACCTTACTGCAAACAATCAGTTCCTGGTGGTGCATTTGTTTTGTTGACCTCTGAGGGCACCTGGAATTAAGACACAGAAACTACTTCTTGGAGAGGACAGTCTGTTTTTAGAAATGGCTTAACTAGCAGTGAGGTGGAAGGGAGAATTACAGCTGTTGTAATGCATAGTGACATGATTCACGTGTCCAGTGTCCATACCATTCCTTTCATTTTCTTCCTGTATGTTCAAGTTTCAAGTTTCCTTTTGAGCTGTTGTTTGGCTTGAGAAAGAGAACTGGTTAGTGGTAACTTGGTAAGCAGACTTTTGTAGCAGAAGTCAGTGCTTGTGGGGAAAATGTCAGGCCAGACTTGCTTCTTCTGTGTGCTTGACAGAGTGAGGAGCAGCTTAGAGGGGAACTGATGCCAGCTGAAACATGAGAGGGAAACTCTGGTACAGTTTTGAAGAGCTGGGTTTCAGAATGCAGATGGAAAAGAGCCAGTGGAGTGATCTGAAGAAGTGATGAGCAGTAATAAAGTAAGCTAATCTCAGCAGCTGCATTTTCAATTGACTGAATGGCAGCACACTGTGCCCCACCAGATTCTGAAGAGCTTGGGCTTTGCAGCTCAAGTTTTATGGACAGACAGAGGCTGGAGAGAGAAGGCAGAACAAGGCTCAACAACTATCCAAGGTAAAAGGAGAACAGAAGGAAGCATTTGAAAAGGTGATGACATGTTCTCCTCTGTGCTGAAGACCAGCAAGACACCCCAAAGGAAAAAAGAACTGGGGTCTGTGGTACAGCTGAGCTGCTGGCAGAACACTGGATTGATGGGTTAGAAATTGAAGGGTACAAGACCCAGTACAGACAGCCTAGCTGGATATGGAAGTGATTAAAGAGTTGCCAGTATAGCTGTAGTAGTTGCCTTTCCTTTTATTCAGGTTGTCTTTAATGTGAGAATTATCCTTTGAATTTCCTCTCCCCACCCTACCACAAACCCTGCCTTCCTCTCACTGCCCATCTCCTCCCCTCAAATGAAAGAAAGTAAAAGACTGACCCCAGCCTAGTAGTCCAAGCTCTAGAAAGCTGGTTCTTCCAAAAGTTGTGCTATCTTGTATGCTTGTCCTGGGGAAAAGATAAAACAGATGAGGCCGAATTTTCAGAAAAATAAAGATGCTTTCAGAAAGCAAAAAGGCATAAGCATGCATCTGGAACTATGTGCTTTCCTCAAAACATGTGTACCAGCTTGGATTTTAAAGTGTTTTTCAGTGTTTTCAGCTTGGACAGATGCATATGTAGAGAAAACCACTTATTACCATGATTGTTGTTGTTTTATTTGCTCATTTACCAATTACCAGTGTTTTTCAGACCAAACCAAAGAGTTTCCTGTGTCAGATTGTGAGCTACTCTGTTGTTTCGTGTAGTCCTGTCATATAATTTGTGGGTGGCATGGTTACTTTCTGATTGTTTTTGCTAATATTCTGATAAATATTTCTCTTCCTGCTGCTTGCAGACTTTGGAATAATTCAGGAATATTCAGGAATAATAATCAACTGGACTTTCAAGTTTTTTTAGGTTGTTTTTGCATGCTTCTGCTTATGTGTGGTCCAAACATTTGGCACATATATAGTCTCAGTCTGTATACACTGTTGATGACCTTCCTGACAGTTTTTCCTCAATTACCACAGAAAATCCTCTACTTCCTGACAACAAGTAGGAGTCTCACAAATTAAGCCAATATATGTAGTGATATTTTTCTAAGGAAATTTCAATATTCAAATTCATTTTGCACTCAGTATTTCACTTCTCTCTGAACAGGTCAGTGCATTGTTTCAAAACCTACTCTGTCAGTCTTAGTGTGTTTTCCACAGTCACAGCAGCTGATATCTAAACCTCACTTTTGAAGAATATCAGAAAACTTGGAGAGTGAACACATATATGGGAATTATGCTTTAAGACTAAATGTCCTAAAATGGCCTGTATCATTGTCTCTTTTTGCAGTTATTTGTGGTGGGTTGGCCCTGGCTGGATGCCAGAGGCCTGCTGCTCTATCTCTGCCCTCTCTAAACCTGCTCTCTCACTGCCCTCCTTAGCTGGAGAGTTTGTGGATCAAGAACAGGACAGGGAAACCAACTACAGACCAATTAGAGGCAAAACAGACTTGACTGGGAGAATTCAGTTTAATTCATTACCACATTGGAGTAGGAAAACCCAAATCTTAAACACACCTTTGTATCAGCCCTCCCTTCTCCCTCAGTGGTGCAGGAGAATGAGGATTATGGTCAGTTCAGCACACGATGCCTCTACTGCTACTTCCACCTCAGGGGGAAGACTCCTGACACTCTTCCCCTGCTCCAGCATGGGGTCTCTCCCACTTGAGACAGCCCTCCATGGACTTATCCAATGTCCACGGGCACTTAAAGGGAATCTCAGCTCTGGCACCTGGAGCATCTCCTGCCCCTCCTTCTGCACTGACCTTGGGGTCTGCAGAGCTGACAGAGTGAGAGTAGAGTTCCTCTCACATACTCTCACTCCATTCCCTGGCTGCATTTGGCATTGTGTGGTTCTTCCCTCTTAAATACATTATCCCAGAGGCTCTACCATGGTCACTGATGGGCTCACCCTTGGCCAATGGCTGCTCTGTCTTGGAGCTGTCTGGCACTGGCTCCCTGGGACAGGGAGGAAGCTTCTATCACCTTCTCACAGAAGCCCTCTCTGTAGCCTTGCTGTGCAAACCCAGTACATGACTCCTATCAGCCAGGAAAAGTCTTTCTTCCACTCTCCTTACCAAAGAGTTTTTGCTGTCTCGTTTTAGACACGAAATCGTTTTGAAGGAACAAGGTCAGAGGTAGAGGAGCTCATGAACAAGATCAGAAGAAATCCTCAGGAACATAAAAGAGCAAATCACTTCACGATGGAAGGCTACCTCTATGTCCAGGAAAAAAGTAAGGTGGATTTTGTATTCCACAGTGCACATATTGGGCATATGGGCAAGTCTTGTCTCTACAGGTAACACGATGATCCAAAGAATTTACTGTTGATTAAAGAGTCATCTAAGTATATTTTCAAAGTTTTTAACAGCATTGTTACTCTGGCTCATAAAAAGAATATTGAGCTGAGAATGTGACAGGTTTTAGTAAGAGTGACTGAATTCAGGGAAGTTTTGTTTGACGAAAGAATGGATTTGATCTTATTTTTAATCCCTTACTGATGACCCCCTCTAGAACTGTCAAACATTTGTTCTCAGCCAGCAAGATGAGTTGTCAAGTTAGCCTCTGAAAATTTGGCTTGTTGAATATGATGAAATTGAGTGTCATTTCCTTGATTCATTGATACACTTTCATTACCTAATTGTGATGATAGGGTCAAATAAAGCAGACTATATGTTAGGTAGCTGGTGTTAAAATTCTTGCTGTGAAGGTGCATGTTGCATAAATCATATCCTGTCAACACTTCAAACAATTATAAATCTTTCTCACACTAGTAAAAAAGCCAAACAAGATGCAGAGCTCTTGTTGCTCAAGGAATGACAATTTATTGTAATTTATTATTTATTTTAAAACATTTTGCATAAATCATGTTTTTGAGATGTTTGCCCTTATAGAGTGAAAAGATTCATTTGCAGACCTGTTTTTTAGGAAAAGCTAAGTAATAGAAGTGCAGAGATAGAAAGGGTCAGAATCCAAGTTTGAACACTTGGCATTATGGTGCAAATCTCAGCAATACTCTTTGCAGTAAGCTGGGCTCTAAAGGGAGTGTCTTCTGTCTAGGGTATGCACTGATTAATAGGAGAGACTTCTGGTGTGATCAGACCTTAATCATGAGATTGTTTAGAACTTGTAACAGAGGTGTGGTAATCTGTGGTTATTCAGATTACCAAGTATAAACCAAATTACCAAGTATAAACCTAGCTTTCTGTGTTCTTCTAAATAAAGTCTCAAGGGGGTATTTACTTTATAGGGAAAAATTATTTTGTCTGTAACAGAGAGAGAAAGATACATTAATAATTCTTTCCATTTGTCATTAAGCATAAGGGTGAAGTACAACATGCATTGTGTTTTAGAATATAAGCAGTGGTTAACATTAGTATGATGTTGTATAATATTCTTAATTTGTACCTTTGCTTTAAATACTGCATTATTAGGAATTAACTAGGACTCTTAAGTATCATTTTAGAAAGCAGGAGAGGAGAATGCAAAAAGTGGAAAAAGTACATACTATTTATTGCTTTTGTGTTATGTAGGGCCTGCTCCCTTTGGTTCCAGTTGGGTGAAGCACTATTGCATGTACAGGAAAGAGACAAAGAAGTTTTCCATGATCCCATTTGAACACAGATCAGGAGGCAAAGTTGTATGTATATTTATGTATTCTACTCTTACACTTGTCCTGTATTAAGATCAGAGAATGTGTCAGATAAGATTTGTCAAGTACTTTCCCCCTCTACCACCTCACCCCTTTTCTCATCTTTCCTTATGCAATTCAGTTTGCCATTAAAGGACATTAACCCAAAGGACGTTAACTTTCTATTAAGTTATTAATAGATAAGAATTCTCCAGACTTTGCAGTTGCATCCTTTTAGGAGAGCAGAGGACCTGGCACAGATAACATGCAATGTTTCACCATTTAGAATCTTGTTTATGAGGTCTTTAACTTTCTAAAATATAAATCAGGAAAATATAACAGACCTTGAAATTTCTTTATTAAATGATTCAGAGTTTTCTTTGGAGATTTAAATGCTAGAAGTGGAACTAGAAAAGTGGATAGGAATATAGTTTGCACTGATAACTGAATGTAATTTCAGCTATCTTTAAAAGCATCTGAAATATTCAAAGACCCAAGACTTTGTTTATGTTTAAATGGCTAAACTACTGAAATAGTTGGGAATTGATTACCTTTAAAGATGACACATTAAATGAATGTATTTGTAGGGATACAATTTTATATTGTATCCCTATATTGATGGGAAAAAATGCATTTTGTTGCAAAGAAAAAGGATATCTGAATCTGGAAACTGAGGCTTGAGTCAATATGCCTGTAAATGCAGCACCCTGCCCTGTCTTCAGATTTGGTTAGGAGATCATGTTGTTGGAATTTTATCAAGTTATTATATCCTATTAGTTTCAGCAGAGGGGAGATGACTTACATAATTTTGAGGACTCTGTGTATTTACGAATATATTGAATTTGGAAGAATCTTTCAAAAGCTTTGGAAAACCTGATGTACTGAAAATTAGTAGTATTTGATTTCCTTAATCACTTCAGTACATCTATGAATTTTTTATCTTAATTTGCTCCAGTTGTAATAAGCCATTTTAGTTAGTAGAGTATATAGTATATGTGGCTGAGCATTCAGCATTCTAAAACACCTGTGAAGCCATTTCTGCTATATTAAAAGACCTCCCATTTGGAAATTCCCGCAGTTACTCCTTCAGTGACAGCCTTCTATGTCTGGAGATGCTGAATAAGACAAGAAATAATTAAAATGTGCAGTTAATCCTGATTTAATCTGGTACAACTCAGGCAGCATTCACAGATGAGTTTGTGATTCCTGGCTAAAATAAGATCCTGGTGTTGGTTTAGAAGAAAGAGAGTTGGTTCTGTAAGACATGTTACAGACAGTAAAGAACACTTCCTTTGTTCTCTTTGGTGTAGCCTTTACTATGGCCTTTACTATAGAAATCACTGTGGCTGACATAAAATGGGAGAAGTCTCTTTGAGTGTTTATATTGTAACCAGTGCAAAATATTTTTGTTAGTTTAACTTACTGTGGTGTTGAGTCATTCTGTAAAGTACCAGCTGAAATGGACTCAATATTTTTAGATTTATGTCCCAGAAATGACCATAGAATTTATGTTATTGTATAGAAAAGTGAACTGCAAACATGGGCGGATTCTTTTGCAAGTGTCAGTTTTCAGTACAGCTTTTGCCATTCAATATGAATTTACCTTACTTGCCTTGTACAGCTGGCTTGCTGGAGCTTATAAAACTTACAAGAACTGGGTCAAGCTTATAAAAACTTTCTTTTCACAGGGTGATGCAGAACTCTTTGTCCTTACATATTGTACCAAAAGAAATGCAGATACAATAGACAGGCGATTCTGTTTTGACTTAGAAGCTTCAGACAGGTAAGCTTGTGAAGCACCCTAGGAAGAACTCTTTTCAGGTATAATTAAAACTACTGCAAAATTACTGTTGTCTTTTCTTCTGATTTCTTCAATCCTCAGTCAGAGGTCCAATGGGAATGGTCACTTGAGGAGCAGGCAAGCACTGCCATGGCTCACTGGGTTTTACCTCACCTGTGTGTAGCAAATGCAGAGAGGAACTGAACTGAAATGTAGACATTGCCTGAGCTCACATTAAAGAAAAGCACAGAGTTAAGAGGCGCTGTTAAGAGCTATCGTAGTGAAGAAACATGGCTTAAATTGAAGTACATACAGCTATGGTGAAAGACTGATTGCAGTAATAATTTACGTAGTCATGACCACATTGTCACTCCTGTGTTCCAAAATGATGGGCTGCTGAGGAGATATGCTGCATTTTCAGATTGAAATAAGGTTATTTGGATTTTGAGGCTTCTCATGCCTGGTATAATCATCCACTGCATCTTGAACGTTGTTGCCACTGTCTTTTTGAAGCATCACTTGTTTGCTCTATTTCTAAAGAAAAGACTTGCTCATCTTTTTCTCTAAAGGACCTCAAAATTTGATAAACATTGTCTTTCAACAGTGTTCTAGTCTTCCTTCATTTATGAAGGTGAGGGTATCCAGCTTCATAAGGTATTCCAAATAAATTAGGCCGGGGTAATGCTACATTCTTTTGGTGCAGAAATGGATTGTATCTGGAATTAAATGTTAGATAAAAATTAGTGAATTGCTGCTGAGTTTTTGCATCCACCCCCTCTAAGCTGATTTTAATCTATATGTTTGCTCCTTTTTTACACAAATTAACTACATGCTAACTTATTATATAGTAGGTCTTCAAGTTTTATTGGCTTTTGGGTTTTTTTTTTTTGCATCAGATTCTTAGTGTTTTTCACTTCAAAAGCAGCAGGGTCAATGCTCTCAGGCCCCCCTGTCCTGTGATGGCTCATGGTCTGCAGATATGTTTGTGATCATGTGCTCAAACTCTAATCAGCATCTGTGCTGAGGCTGTGTGACCAGTCAGACTGGCCAGAGGTATGTTCATTCCTACAATAAGCAATGGGTAAAGGGATGTGAAACTCCCACTGCATCAGAAACCTTCTAGCCCACATGGCAGATGCAAAGATGCTCTTTTACAGCTCAATTGATGGTTTTTGTCACTCTACAGCATGGTTTGAACTTGCATTTTGAGTTGAGGACGATGTGGTTTAGCTATTCTAACGCTGTGTCCCAACAGTATGAAATGAAATAAAGATTTACACTCCAGGCATCAGCTCCTCTTGGGTCAGTGTATTGATTGGTCAGTAGGGATAACAGATTTCAAACTGAGTCTGATAAAACTGCTGAAAAGTAGCGTGAGAAATGTCAGTCTGTCTGCCTCTGTGTGTCATCTGCTCAGTGGGGTATCTGGAGTTTATACAGAGGTGGATGGAGAGCTGGGTTTCCTTGATCCTGCAAAACACTTTTTCATTCTCTTCTCTGGTAAAAGGGGGAAAAAATCTAGTTCCTCTTTCTCTCTTGATATAATAGACACAATTTGATCTGCTGTGACCTTGATATCAGACATTTTTCTTTTAATAATATATGTGTGTAGTGCTGAGATGTTCCCATGGAGATTGGTTCTGTGCTGCAGGCCATTAGCTTGTTTCCTTGGTATCAGTTCAGGGCACACTTATCCCTCAGCTTGTCCAAGTTAAAAAATAGCACAGGGATTGACAGCTGGGCATGGGATTTTCTCCAGTACTATGCTTTGAGAGGAGGCAAGGTCGTAAAATTTTAGGGAAGACTTTTAAGTAGCAAACATTCAATCTTGTGTGTGACTTAAGCATAACTTTGAGCTAGCTAAAATAATTTTGAGCTAGCTAAAATTTACACATTTTTCTTTCAACAGGAATGCTGAGATGGCCGTGTTTTCTTTAAATTCTGATATTTATGGCTCTCAGGGTGCTAAGATTCTGGTTAAATCTCTGGGAAGTGATACTTTTTTCTGTTTCTAGTACTCCATCATGTTGACTTGAAGCAAGTGTAGGGAAATTTAAATCTTAAGGAAAGAGCAGAGGTCTTCTAGGATAGGAGAAAGTTACTTTATTGATAAAGAGCATTATCCTTCTGAAATACTACCTAGATTTAATTTTTTTCCAATACAGGACAATGAGAGAAGCTTTTGTTTCCTTTGACTTTATTTTGAAGACATATAAATGATATTTCATGCAGCACATATTGAGTTTGATGTATTGCTTCTAGGTTGATCCTCTGATACCTTGACAACTGTAATTTAGTGAAAAGAACTGAATGGTTGCAAACTGTGATCATTGTTGCTGCTTTAAAGATGATTATGTATTGAGTTAACAAATCCCATTTTTCATCTAACAACAGTGCAAGTCCAAGTTTATTTACAATTCACAAAATTCAGTAACTCCAGCAAGTGTAGGAATCAGCAGGTGATCAACAATGAGCTATTTCAAATAGTTTGCCTTACATTAATTTTCCTTTTTCCTCCTGTTTTCCCTATTTCTTACTGCATGTATCACTTCTATATCTTTTATTTTCAAGATCAGTGGTGTTCAGTTATTAAGCAAAAGAAAATGAGCCCTGACTTTTAGGACAATGGGCTTTTGCTTGTAGTTGGAAATAGAATTTGAGAAGCATTTTTTACTTGTTGATGAATGCAGTTACCTTATGTTGTTGGTACATTTGCAGGCCTGGAGTTCCTGTCACCATGCAGGCATTTTCTGAGGAAGACAGGAGGCTGTGGATGGAAGCCTTGGATGGAAAAGAAGCTGTAAGCATAATTTTAAAAATATTCTTTTATAGTGTAGTGGGGAATTCTCTCACCCTCTGCTTTCTGATCCCATTTATATTTAATAAACTGGCATTATGTAGTTTGCAAAATGATAGATTCAATGAATAAAGGATAAAAGTGAAATAAAACTCAGGAGAGATGAGTAACTTGGTAAAGCTCAGTGTAGATAACTGCTAATGCTGATATGAGAATTTTTCATTGTAATGACAGCATCAATTTTTATAAATGGTTTCCCATGCCAATGATAATGTTGGTGTTGTAGAAAATGTCTAGTATAAGCATGTTCACTTAGTCTTATGCTGACATGCTGCATTCCAGTGGCAAAACTTGCATGAGTGAGTTACTATTTTATTATTATTTTATTATGTTATTATTTATGGTGTTATTATTTTATTCTTTAAAACCAGATCAAGAAGTTCTTATTAATGGGACTGAGGTTGTACATGAATTTGCTTAATTTCTGCCTCTAATCAGGAAACAGGTTTGAAATGTTGAATTGAAACACACTATTTATTCTTACAATGATAAATGTATTGGTCTTGTGGGCCAGGAATGATGGGGTTTTCTAGACAAAGACACAGTCACGTGTCTGCCCCAGTAGTTGTTTGATTGACCTCATTGTTACACTGATCTGGTTTCATTTGCAGAGGTGTTTATTACCATGACAGGTTGGCTGAGCTGGACTCCCCAGTAAGTTGAAAACTTCTGGGAAACCCAAACTGGAACATAAGTCCCAGGAATCATCACATTCTTAATAATTTAAATGACCTTGAAACTGTGGGAATTTAACCTGCAGACAAACATAGGAACATGGAGCACATAAATCCCTGTTAACTGGCTACAGCCAGTTCAGTGGCTGTATCTGTTCTGGGGGGCACAGACCTCTGGTCCTGCTGTTGGAGCTGCTGGTGGGGCTATGCTCTGGCTGTAATCACCTGTATTTGTGCCTACTGAGCATTAAGAGTGAGTGTATCTTCTTTTTCTGGTTTCATGAAAGTCTTTAAAATAATTTGTCCTTTTTACTCTTTTTGTGTTAGCTTCTCATCAACTTGAATAAAGCGAATGCAAAACAAGAGGGAAGTAAGTATTTGAATTAGCATTAAGGCTGATTTTGTTAATATTTTAAAATTGAGAAAGACAAAGGTAATTTGGTTTTTTTTCCCCTCTGGAACTTTTTTTCCCCTTAATTATTTTGCTTTTAAATCTTGAGGTTTGAATATTACTTGTAATTTTTGTAATTACAAGTAATTAATTAATTTTATAATTAATGGGTTTTCATACTAACTCAGTACATATTTTATAGGACTGGACATAAGCTGGAGAAGCAGTCTTTTGATTGTTTTTGCCAGTTTACTTCATGCCTGAAATTGATTCAAGTGTGAATTTGTATGTAAATGCATCACAATTTCTTAATCCAGATTGTGTGTACATTTCTGTTAGAATGTGAAGGTATGGTTTTAAAAGCAATTGCAGCTGAAGATCAAGATCAGCAAAAAAGCTGAATTTGTGCATTTAAAATATAAACTAAAATCTGGAAGTAGAAGAGATGGCTTTCTTTACACAACATGAGCTTTCTTATGTTGGTGAAGTGTAAGAGTGAAAACAGGTATCCTTCTTTGATTATGAGGCAATTTATGCTTGCTTTTTTAAAAACCTGAAATCACCGATTCAAGCTGGATGCTGGTGTTATTAATAGAAAGTTTTTCTCGGATTTGTCTTTTCATGGTACAAGACCAGGTCCCCAGGAGCAAGAAGGCCAGATGTTTGGGGGAAGGGCAGCTTTGCAACATAAGCTTTTAAATGAAGTTTTGATGTGAAGAAAAAGAGTAAGATAGGAACAACAAAGGAATGCTGGAGCTCAGCTGTTGTCCTGTTCATGCATCTGCTTTCATGTAGTCAGATCATTAACTGCTGTGAAATGATATACATGTGTCCTGTATCTTTAGTGTGGGAATTTCTTTGGCTGAGGGTAGGACTCAGTAAAAGCCCTGCTGTTGATAATTATGTTTTTTCATCATAAGTACTTCCTTGTCCCATTTGGTGAACTCTCTCAGATGTTGTCGATGTTGCAGTAAGTACTGTTAAATTCCATCTTGCATCTGCCAACATGTGTAACTAATCAGAGATCCCATTCTTCAAAGGATGCTGCTGTGAACAGATTCACTGAAGCCACTATCACCAGAACAAGCTTTTCCTTCAGCTAGGCAGGCTTGTGAAGGAGAAAAGCAGCATTTCTCTATAAAAAGTGATGTATTCTTCCAGTTTCAGAATATTTATAGTTTTGCCTCAGAAGTACAAGCTTTATGATTAAGTCCAGCCTTATTTTCAGTGAAAGATATAATTGTAATGGTGCTTTTAAACTGTTCAACTCTTTTTATTTTTTTTTGTAGGTGCACAGTTGGATAAGATAGGGTTCACCATCATCAAAAAGTGCATCAGTGCTGTTGAAACACGAGGTAATGATCAGCCCAACCTGTTTGTGAAGAGGGTGAAGCAGCTGGTCTGCTGAAGAAGGTGGCAAAGTCTCCTGTAGATCTCTGGAAAAGACTTTACCATGGAAGACATTTCACTGATTACACTGACCAAGACAGGAGTCTGTCCAGTCTGTCCCTTATGCATGGCTTTCTTTCAAGAAATGTGTTTGCCAGAAGTGCTCACAAGTGGGGAATGGCACCTCTCTTGACAAAGGGAGCCAGTTTTTGTGCACAAAACCTAAGAGAAACCTGTTGTGTTTTGTAGGCGTTGCCTGCACCTTTGCTTTGCTGTTCAAACAGAGTAATTTATTTCAGTGTTTCATTTCTGTTCAGTCTCTTAAGGCAGAAGAAGAGGAGCTGAGCAGGCAGGTGATTAACAAAAAGTGTTGAAGTACTTTTCATGGAGTTAGTTTCACCCCAGGGACAAAGATGCTGTCAGGATTTATTGTTGCATATACTCATTGTTGTACTTCCAGAATTGGAGATGGAGGAGAGGTCAGTGTGCAGACAGTATTCAAGAGGTATTTGGGATTGATTTTGGAGACGCTCTGCTGAAGTGTGTGTTGACCAGCCACTCTGAGGCTCACTGCATTGTACATGGCATTGTGTGGAGAAACTGCTTGTTTGGTTGTGGTTTTTTAAAAAAAGAGGTGAAGGCCTGAAAGTAGGTGAGGTTACAGTATATTTCTCAGTTTGTTAAAAGAGATGTTATAATTTCTGTGTGGATTTTGGGTTTCTCCTAAATTGTTGACTTTCCCTCCTACTCCCAAAGGAAACATTTAGAATTTTTTGCAAACTAGATCTTTTTTTCTGGAGGTCTGACATTGCACAGGGCAAAATACTTTCATTTTTCTGCGTATCACAGTCCAGCTTAAATAAAATGAACAGAAGAGCAGGTTAATGCTTGCTGTCAGTGCAGCATCTTACTGAAAAACAGTGTCTTCCATGCATAGACTTACTATACAATATTGTTAGGAACATAAGCAGCCTTTGTGATACTTAAAGTTTTGCATTTAAACAGCAAGAGGTATCTGAAGTCCTTTTTCTCTTAGACCTTTTTGTATCAGTCCTGTCTGATGCATTAAAGATGTTATTCCAGATTAGGCCATATTCTATCTGGTGTTATATTTGTTCATTCTGTTCTTTTGAATATTTTTTCAGATAAGTTTGCCTGTCTCATCACTTTTAAATTTCAGTTACTGGCATTTACAATCTGAATATTTGAGCTGGGAAACACTGCAGATAAAGCTGGCATCCTACAGATAAGTTGTCTTCACTGCAAAACCCTGTCTCAATATAGTCTGGATCTTCTCTTTACAGTAAATGAAGCAGATTTAATAAGAAGGGTGGCATGTGCTCATGTAATGAAAGGCTAGTTTTGGCCTGTAGTACAGTTACAGGCTACCTTACAATACCTCATGAATTCTCCTTACTATAAACAGTGTGGAGTATACTATATTTCTATATTTTGATTTATTATTTCTAACTGTGTTCAAATAGTTTTCCTTAAGTTGTGGACTGATTATTTTTTTCTTTTTTTGATACCCTACAAGAAAAGTGAAACAAGAACAAAATTGTGGAAAAAATGTGAACACTTTCTTCATGAAATGACTATTTGGAAAAATGGTTTTTGTTGCCTTTTTTTTTTTTTCCCCCCTCAGGGATGTGGGTGGATAGGTTAAACTGAATGGAGGTTTAAGTTCACTCTGTCCTTTATGCCTTGATTTATGCACCTTGTAAGAAGGTGCAAAGTATTTGTGTGACTCGCTTGTTCAAGAGAAATTATGAGCTTTCATGGGGTAGCAGCATTTCTCCCCATAGTGGGGTCTGCCCTGAAACATACTTGGGGAAGAAGTAAAGTTCCCCAAGTCTATGCAGACTTTGCACCTTTCCTGTCCTATGTACACAGCCTCTCTAAGATGTGCAGTCAGTACACTGCTTTGTGGTAGTTACTACCAATGAAAAAGACTTGGGTCTATTAATTTTGTTTCAGAGAGTACTCAAGAAAGAAAATAAATCAGTTTTCAATTAATATTTCTCGTCTTGGGGTTCCACTGATATATTTAGGGGAGATGCTACCTCCCAGGAACTCAACAATCCACTTAGTTTGGTTTCAATCCACTTGATTTTTCCATTACATTTTAAGCAGTCGTTGATGATTATCTGTTTGCTGATTCTGAACTTAACATCAACTGCATTTAAAAAACAAAACAAGTAAACAACTCCAAAACAAAACAAAAAAACCTCTAAAGGACCTTCTGCTGATGTCTGCTGAGCTAAACAAATGGAGGGCCAGGAGACCATTCAGTTGTTTGTCTCAAAAGAGTTTGGACAAATAGTTGTATGATGAAGAAAATCCGTCTTCCAAGTGGCAGAATTTTCTACCTGTACTTTTCCTTGAAAACCATTTTTACTTGGTTATTTTACTTTAATGATAACACATCAAAAGCAAGTTATATTCAGCAGGAGAAAACAGGACAGATGCTTCTTCAGAGACTGTGCTTGTGTGCCATGTTTTTATCTCTTTTAATCATAATGGGTGTGAGGTTGGCGTGGGTGGGAAGAGAGGACAGTCTAGTGTGGGTGGAAACTGAGAATAGTCTTGTCATGTCACAGCAGAAGTAGTCTGGTATTCAGAGAGAGAAGAGCATAACGGAGATATTGAACATAAACTTGTCAATGGCTGGATCATTTTTTTTTCTCAGTTATGTTCCCTTTTATAAAGCCAAGAAGGGAATTATTTGCTCTGAATGAATAGAAGCACAAAAATCAGTGTCTTGGTTAAAATGCATGTGAGCTTCTGATTCAGCATTGCCTTACAAGTGATTGGCTATGCTTCACTGGTAGGACATGCTGAGGCAACAGGATATGCATCCCATCTCTCACATACTGAGCACCGTGCTGGTTGGATGTGCCTCTGTGTTTTGTCTTGGAGAGAGCGTTTTGGGATTCTCTTTGGAGTATTTCATTTATTATTCTCTACTGAGAGTGATAGAATGGGCTAGGTGTTTATTGAAACATCAAAGAGCTGCATGCTCCACTAGTAAAGATTCTGTGCATGTTTTTGTGTGCGAGTAGCTGGTTGTACCTTCTGAGGGGATGTGATGGGTAAAGTTTGCCAGAGCAGTATTTTTCTTGAGCTTAGTACTGGTGGAGCTGCCAATCTGAGCTGCAGAGAGAGATGGCAGCATTGAGCTGCATGACCAGGCTGGCTGCTCCTCAGGCAGAAAGTACATGGTGAAGAGGGAGTAGAAAACCTTTGCAAGTGACATAAAACCCTCTGTCATTACCTTGAATTTAGAGTGTCACTTGTATGGCTGTTTCTGTGCCATGGATTTTGGTATAAAAATTATTATTTGCAGCTATATTGCGAGTCTGTGTCAGCCTCACGAACAATGCCAGTCACAAAATAAACTTTCCTACACCGTACCTTGCTTACAATAGGATAAATTACTATCTTGCTTTCAATACCTTATATTTCTAAGCATGCCTCACAAGCTGTGTCCCTGTGCCAAATTCTGTATCAGGCAGCCAAACATCTTGAGATAATGTAAATATGAAGGAAGTTGTGCTGCGGGGCTCTACCGTTCCAGGCTGCCAATAGTGGTTGAGCCGGCAGACACAGCGTCTGAACCCTTCAGCTTTTCAGGCAGTGGGGAGCTGTTCCTTGCAGTGAGTCATCCTGTCAATTGTGTTCTGTAAATGCCAAGCATTATCAGTGTTGGATGTGCTGAAGATCTGAAATGTGCAGATTAAATCAGAAGTAGGACTGTTTCAAACCAGGTTTGTATATTTTAAATAAAACATCACTTGAAAGTATGGTTAAAGGTATCATCTCAAACTATGTTGAAATATTAATGCCTCTTTGCACTCCTTGATGTCTGCTAGCAATTAGCTATGCTTTTTTCAGGTTGATGAATTTGAAACTGATCAATTATCTGATAATCTCTATCATAGACTCATGATTATTGCTGGAGGATTGTCATAGTTTCAATACTGCCATTTTCCAGATTCTTCTGCATTATCATGTCTGTTTTAATACTGAGGAATAGGTTTTGTGGTTTGGCCTTGATTATATTGAAGCCTGTAAAGGTATGTTTGGGGTCAGCACAGTTGGTTCCCCCCAGTTTTAATGTCAGAACCACAGGAAATCACAAATCAACTTCTGAGATAAGCAAAAGCTCAGTGTGATAGTATTTCTTCAGCTTTTTTTATCTTGCGTATGATGCAGAAGGCTTGTTCTGTGGTACTGAAAGTAGTAGAAGACATATAAAAAAAGTGTGATGCATTTTGGCAAAGCTTGGTGTTAGTTTGGTACCAGAATTTTCCTGGACACCTCTGAGAAGTTGGAAGCAAAACTATTTGCTGCTTTCAGGACAGATTTGTAGTGCATTCTTGTTTGGAGTGTATCAAAGAGTGTATTGTTGAGATTTTTTTTAGTGTCTTCAAGTGGTGCATAGCATGCCATCATACTTGTTCTAGGGATCATTGGAAAACTTGGTTGGGTTGATAACTTCCTATTTTGAGAAAAACAGTGTTGTGGCCCCATAGCTCTTTTGGTTTTATTTAGGTCATTCTCTTGTGCACAGTGGAACTGCAAGCATACTCCTGAGTGCTTGGATGAGCACAGATAAAATAAAGGAGATCTGGCTTATTCTGTTAATTTGAGCCAGCTCTGAACCTGGCATCTAGCTTAAGGCTCAGCACCATTCCAGCAGTGCCTGCATCCTGGGGAGGGAAAAGGGCCAGTTTTACCCAGGTGGAGCAAGCAAGGGAAGGAGCAGCTGCAGCCCTGGGACAGGGGAAGGAGCAGTGCTGGCAGGGAGGAGTTCAGCAGGCTCAGGAATCTGGGATGGCCAAGGAGGCTGCAGACTGTGTGAGGAAGAGGAAGGCGTCAGAGAAGAGAGAAAAGATGCAGCAAGGCTGGGCAGGAGGAGGAGGAGGTAGAAAATGCCAAGTTCTCTCTACCATATTGAGAATTATTGCTGTGTATTATGGCTCTGTCTGACAGTAATTCATTAAAAGGCTAATGATTTTTACATACTTCATCTAATATTTATTTGGGAAGAAACTTTTTCTCATATGACTGGTTTTAATTTTCCTTCTCTCTGTTGGAACAGCTTGGTATTGAAGCTGGGAATTCTCCACAATTCTTCCTTTGTTGAAGCATATTTTGAATAAGAATACCACATAATCTGTTATTTGAAAAGATTTCCTTGGAGTAGAAACACAGCTATTTTGTGGCATTTCTACTCTTCCAGGCCAGTGTGATTATGAAGGTAGATTGTGTTTGTAGATGGCTGCTTATTATGAGGCCTCTCAAACATCTGTGTACTGAAGTATTTTACCTCCCACTGTCTAGGCTCTGAAACAATGCAGAAGACATGGACTACCTTATTTTTCCCTTTTTCTTCCCTGCCCCTTCTCTCCCTCCCATTTTTTTTTCAATTTATATTCACAATTTTACTTCCCTGGGGATAAAACTGGCTAATGTAATGGAAAGCAAAAGCAGGGGAAGAAAAGGGGTAGAGAAGTGAATGTATGTGAGATGATGGAAGGGCACAGAGGAATGCCAGGAAAGTGGTCCAGTGTCCATATAGAATGGGAGTAGGGGACTGAAAATACTGTGTTGGTTATGGCTCCTCTATTCATCCCAAGAAAAACTCTTCAGTAGCTTTTGGTGGTGCTTCTGGATGTAACTCCTATTTGGACCACAGTGGGTTGGAATGAGGCCTTGTATCTTAAATGGAAAGCATTTATAAACTTGAAAAACTGCTGATTTTGAGGACTGGGAATAGGCTTAGGTTTTTCTTCATGTTTAAATCACTGCATATTGGGGGGGGGGAAAGAAATGTTAAAGTTACTGAAGAAATCTTAATTTAGCATTTGTTTGTTCAGTTCCTACATTATTACAATGTGGCCGTTGATGTACCCAAAATGCAATTGAAAAGATTTGAAATTAGTCAGTGGTTTATTTATTTATTTATTTCCAAGTAAAGCTTTGTCCCTGTTTGCTTCTCCTCTCAGTTTCAGAAGTGGAATTAAGGTACATGAAATCTTTATCGAAATATAACATGAAGTTACCTTAAAAACAGAGTAACAAAAGGATTCTTCATTTACAATGTTGTTCTTGGAACTGTTAATACTATGTAGTCTCTCTGTCTTTGAAGATCATTTCTTGCCTGGGGCAAAAATTTTAATGCTAAATTTGACTGTGGTTAATCTCATGATTTTTTTTTTTTTTTTTTTTTTTTTTTTTTACATAATAGGTATAAATGACCAAGGATTGTACAGAGTTGTGGGGGTGAGTTCAAAGGTCCAGAGGCTTCTGAGTTTGTTGATGGGTATGGCTCTATTTTACAAATATTTTTTCAATATTTTATTTCATGTTGTTTTACTGTCAATATTTAGTTTTTAAAGCACCTTACAGTAGTTTGCTCTAGTCCATGCAAATAATCATCACGTCATTGTAAATTTCCCTACTTTAGAAAGACCTGGACTAGTTGGTATGACTAAATTAAGAACTGCTATGAGACATGAGGAGAAAAGATTGTGCTTTGTGCAAGGCTGATGGAAGTGGGATTAAAGCAGCCTAAGTTGAAGGATCTGATCAAAAAATTCAAAATACCAAAGTCAGGGATGTTTGAAGCTAGTTGCTTCATTGTTTGAAGTTTCCACCTTCCTTCTCCCATGTCTGGAATGTACCAGTGTACACACCCATGTATCTGTAATTAATCACTGTGCAAAATAAGACAGTTAGTTTAAGCCTACTGTTAAAGAGCTGTTTGGTTTAGGAGGAGGGATATGATATATGTATTAATAATAACTGTGTGTTGGGGCAGGAGACAGATGGAGAAAGGATTTGGTTTTGTAAACTTAAACATCTTAGGCTCTTTTATACCCAGTTAGCTAAAATAATTTGCAGAAAATTTTTTCTCCCTTTTCTTTCTGGAAATTTTGATGCATCTTTAATTCCAGTGACTGGAGTTCTCTTGCCACTCTGCTGTCCCTGGGGGAGGGAAAAAGAGAGAAATATTGGCGCCTGGATGAAGTCCCTCATCTCTCACCAAAGTAGTAGCCATGACTGCAAAATGTGCCATGTTCCCCCATTTCTTGTCCTGAGCACTGACAGTACATGCAGTCAGACAAGACCACTGGGATTAGTTCATTTTTATAGAGCTTCCAAACCTGTCACTTGACAGCAAAGGTCTGATTCTCAGGGATTCATTGGTATGCAAAGAAGCTTGTTTGCAGTTTGCACCAGGCTTTTCTCCAGAACCATGCATGCTCCATCTGTGCTGATAACACAGTGTTCTTTGGCACTGCAAACTGAAGGAAGCCAGAAAGTGAATTCATTTCATTACCCCAGACATTATGTGAATGACAAAGCGCTTTTATATTATATGCTGCTGTCAGTTCAGTGCCACCTGTAAGACTTTTCTTTTCCTTCCTTTATTTTTTCAAACAGCCTGTCTCCTCAAAAATGATAAGGCATCTTGAGACTTGAGGACCTGCATGTCATATCAATCTGTCATAATGACCTTGCTAAATATTAATTTATGATGTCTTACTTTAATCAATATTAACAGCACCCTGAAGTACTCCATTAGTAAACCTTTAAAGTATTACAGAAAAAAGTCTCTTTTTGGAAATACAAACTGGGATTAATAAAAATGACTGATCTATAACAGATTTTCATAGTTGTTTATCTGTGTTGGAGTTAGCCTCAGTAAGCAATAGCCATCTTTAGCCATTGACCATGGGAAGAATGACGTGCTGTCACTCAGAGAGCCTTAATTTAATGTGTTTGATATCACAAGATGCTTTTCAGTTTTGTTCTTGCTGGCTTAGCTTGGGCGTGCAGGTCTGGCAGGCAGATTTTCCTTGCTGCCATTATTGGTATCCAAATTAAATAGACTCAGGTTGCCAGTGGCTCAGTAGCAGCTGGAAGAGTTTACTGGGGATTCCAGCATCTGCTTTTAGTTACTTTTTAAAATCAGGAACATTTTTTGTCATTCCCAAGTTTCATATATTTATTTGACAAAGGAAGAATACAGTGGTATCAAGATGAGGCAAAATACTGAACAGGAAAAAGTTAGGGTGCAAGCAGGTGCTCTTTTCTGATGATTTGTTGAAAGTGATTCTATCTCTGCTCTTTATCTATCTGTGCTCAGAGGAGAACAAAGAGGGTTCCTTTTTGATATACAGTGGTACAGAGAATTTAAAATGACTGATTAATCTTTAATCCTTTGTCTCTGGACATACTCTTAGATACCCTTTTATATGAAAGATTTTTCAGAATCATAAAAAACTCATATTAACTTTCTGTATTTTAAAATGTTTGATAAGATTTCAAAGTATTTTAAGCTACCTATCAGTGACCATGAAGTTCACAGTTGGAAAGGCCTTGTGTGAAAAAAGTCTTCCAAATGGTAGCCAGGGATGTTTTTTTTTTTTTTTTTTGTAGTTTTGTCTCTTTTTCATATTATTTTCTGTAGATTTTTGGAAAGTAGACTGAGAGTTAAAAGAGTATGAGAAGACCAACGTAGGCTTTTCTAGTACTATGAATGCACAGATTTTCAGCTGTAATGCAAAAATCTAGTGGAGCTAAGTCTCTGCAAAATAAGGCTTAGCAATCAAATACATAATTCTATTTAGAAAAAAAAAAATTACAATTAACTTAGTCCATGAAGATACCTGTAACTGGTACTGTGCTATTTTGCAGCAATGATCTTGTTTAAATTTAAAGGGAGGCATCTGGTGAGGAAAACACTTTTCTACCTTTTAAGGGAAAATGTTAAATTAACCAAATACCTCACTGTAAACGGGGATAGAAAGCTAGAACTTCCAATATTCTGGAAATGTGTTCCAAGCACTGCAGTGTGAGTTGTCAGGAGTCTCAGCTCTGGAAGTGCATCAGGGCCCAGTTCCTGTTTCATCGATGATCGACATTATAGATCTGAAGTGCCTCATTCCCTACACGCTGCTCCATAGATTTTGTACAAGCCACTGCATGGATCAGCTTTCACATGGACCATTGCCTGTGGGAGGGGACTGCTGAGCAGTTGCAGTTTCTGCTGATGAGTTCAGGTTTGATTTCTGATGCTGTCTGGTGTGAAAAATACCAGATATTACATGTAGCAAGAAGCTTTTGGGTACTTCTGCCTTCCCAGGACTAGCAGGTTTCAAAACAATGGCATGGAATTCCTTGTTAATTTCTGTACAGTAGATGACAGTATACATGCACTACAGTGGGCATATTGCATATGAAAGCAGAGAGAGTCTCCTCCTAAACAACTTAGTGAACTGGACAGTTTTTATAAGCTCTGGCTCCCTTATTGTCAGAAAGATTTGCATAAAATTTAGAGCTGATTTGTCAAAAGCTGTTCCTTAAACATGCACAGTTAGTTTTACAAGCATAAAGTTGCCCTTGAGTGCACCGTGGCTGTTACATGAACAAGTAGCATGAAAAAAGCTAGACTAATAATTTCTTAAAATCTGGTTGAAGTTCCAGTTCTTACTGAAAAGGGATGTTTGAAGTAGAGGGGGAGAATGGAGCAGGAATAGGAAAATCTATTGGGTAGAAGGGCACAGAGCAATGTAAAGCAAATGCCAAACCAAAAATGAAGAAAATGTCTTTAAATCTTAATGGCTTCTACTATCAAACCAGGGGTTTGTAGCAGGGCTGTTTCGTTTTTTTTTTTTTTTTTTCTCCAAGAGATAATGAAATGTTTCAACAATACTTTCTATTTTTTATTTTAAGAGGCTTGCTTTGGAATTCAGACGCCCATTGTTTTCCTCCCAAAATTCATCAACAAATTTCAATGAACAGAGTGCATACTTTGAATGTAAAGGAGGTTGATGATTAGGAAGCAGCTATTTAAAAACTGGATATTGCATAGTGATTTAGTAACAAAACCCCCATAGATTTTGTAGCTTCTGATGTGATGGCAGTTTTTTATTTAATTAATTCAGGAGACACATTTTCTTCTTGAAAAAGAGGATTCGAACATGGAAACAGCTAGCATAGTAAAATGAAAAAAAAAAAGAACCTTATATTTGAGACAATCCTGAGTATTTTGGGTGGTGGTTGGCTAGTAACAGTTTGCTAGAAAATGTTATCTGACCTGTATTTTAAAATGAGATTTAAATAATTGATATAATGAGGGAGAATATTCAGTTACAGAAATAATTGCTTGGCACAGCTTTTAGAACAAAATTATTTAGTCCCAGTAAAAGGACTGCACCTTTAATCAGGGATCCTAATTTGATTTTTTAAATGTGTCTGTCATTTGTCTGACTTGCCAAGTAACAAATGAGTTCTGAATTGTATGAGCGGGTCCACACATAATCTGCATCAGCCACTGCAGTGACTGAGGGAAACATGTAGCAGTAAATAATCACAGGAAAGCCAGCAAACACACAGGGCTAGGCTGGCCATATACATGTGCTCTCTTCTTGTGTCAGCTAGCTATGGCTTCCTGTTTTGAGGCCAAAAGGAGTTGTTTTGATTGCAGAAAGTTCCAGTGTGCTGTGTTGTTTTCAATCTGTCAAAAAGTCTTCAACCTGATGGGTCAATCAGACAAACCTTTTGGTTTGATCTGTCTTGTTCCAAGGCTCTCCCAACTAACCTAGGAGAAGGTGGGAGCTCTGTGGTCCTGACAAATGGTCAAACAAACAAGTATTTCTTGTCCAGTGGCTAAAACGGATCAAGTAAGGCAAACATTCAGCAAAGACTCCTTTTCCTACTTTGGAAGCACCTCTTAAATGTTCTCGCACAGTGCCGAGGGTCATGCTGCACTTTAACTGTTCTCATCAACAGTTTACAAAAAAACTATGGAAAAAAACTATCACTTTAAATAAGAAAGAAAGAGAGTAAAAGAGAAATTCTTCTTCTTTTTTCCCTAAACTGTTTTTGTACATCTTTCTGTGTTTGTGAACATCTCTCTGTTTAATTAGAGGTGTGAAAATTTCAATTGCTATAGAGATCTTTTTACATGAGGGTGGTTTTTAATCCTTCATTAAAGAAAAAAAAAAATCAGTAAATAGTTTAAAAAACGAAATATGAAAATGGAATTTATAAACAGATTTGGATATTTGGTCGTCTTCATATCACTGAATATTAATAAAAAGGACGTTGCTTCTATGCTCGTGTGAGCAAACACATAGTGTTGAAAGTCAATGTGTTGCTGTTCATGTAACTCATACTGATTTAGAATTCCCTTTTTTTCATGTCCCTTTTCTCTTTCTGGTTATTTTCTAGATTGTAAAACCTGCAATGAAGTTGATCTGGAAAACTCTGTAGATTGGGAAGTGAAGACAATTACTAGTGCTATGAAGCAGTATCTGCGGTAAGGCTGTCTCTTGTTTATTTGGTTTTTTAGACTATAAGTTCTTATTTTAGTTCTCCTATGCAGTATGTTAAGCTGCACTAGTTAATTTTGCTATGTTTTGGAATAGGAGCTCATTTTGTACAAATACCATATTTGTTATTTGTTTTGGGGGAAGCCAAATACTTCATCAGCACTAATACTCATGTTAATATGAGATTAGCCCCCAAACACTTTGGTGTTAGACACAGAAGCATTTCACTGATGGTTCAGAAACCTGAAGTGTTACTAAACTTGCTGAGAATCGTTACTGAAAGTTGGCTAAGTTTGTTAAAATTTGTTTCCTTTTTGTGTTTGTGTGGTGGATTGAAAAGGGAGAAGGCTGTAAAATTTTTAATATTTTCCTCTTTTCCTTCTGACCCTTGCTCTGATGTTCTGTGTGCAATAGTAATAATATTTTGAGTGTCAAAATTTTTAAATAAGAATTTAAAATGTGTTTGCTATTCAAATGGCTTTGCCAATTCCTAATAAAGCTATTTTACTAAATTGCCTAAGAACATAAAATGTCACACTTTTGTGCATCTCCAGTGTAACACACTGTACTTTTAATCTGCTATTTTTATTAAATAAAATTTTATTACAACCACTATCTATGAGTGCTGCAGAAGTATCTTAAGGATAAAACTCTTACATAGTATAGAAAAGTATTAAAAAAAACCCCAAAGTGTACACAATAAATTATTTCTCCCCTACAGTATTTTCCATCTGAATGTTTACTCAGATATGCAATATTTCATGAGCATCAGTAAAGTCAATATAATAAATGGTTTTAACTCTAGTGGTGGTGCTTGTTGTTAGGACATGAGTGTCTTTCCAGTAAGCCACTGACTTGTCATTCTTAGCATTTGAAAAGTGCTAATAAGGAATGAATTGCACAGTATTTGTGCACAATCTTGTTTTGAAACTGGAAAGGTATCCTATGATAGAGGCATCACTTCAGCTCATGGAAGGTGAATGGATGCATTTAGTCTTATTTTCCTTATAATACCGAGTTTTCCTTTTGTTCTAGAAATCACTGAATTCAAGGGCCTTTGTAACAATGGTTGCTTCCAGTAGGAGGATTATGCTACTGAGTGTTAAAAAGGCTTCCTGATTAGAGTAAATGCAGCTGGAAGAAAATACAGTTAAATTTATTATATCATCCTTGTTTTGCAGAAGCCTTCCAGAGCCACTGATGACATACGAGTTGCATGGAGAATTCATCGTTCCTGCCAGTAAATACATGACTGTAGTTCAAATACAAATCTTTTGTTGTTGTGCTGTTGTGACCTCAGGAGCACTCTGCAAATGCAATTCCAGAAAAATGCTTCATCCTAGTAAAAATACAGGAACAGGAAATAATAAATGATTTAAGAATATGTTTTAATCAGTATTTAGTTCCAGTGTGTGTCACATATAATATGACTGCCTAGCACAGTTTTTACTTTTATGGAAAAACTTTTGGATAGCCAGTGTAAACATTTATTCATATTATCTTAATTGCATAATGATAAGCATCTACTTAATCTGTGATTTTTTTTGCCTTCCATTTATAAAGAGTATAAAGCTTAGCAAAAGAAAATACAGTCATTTGAGCTCATTGGAGTCCTTAAAGCACAGCTGCCTGACCCTTGTTTTCAGTGCCTTGCTAGCTCTGTGTGTAGGCTGGCTTGAATGTTCCTCATGTATTAGAAGAAAGGAAAGAGCGGGCCAGATTACACTGTGGCAGTTCAAATACAGACTTGGAGAAGACACAACAGCATTTGTAGCTCAGTTGTATGGTATCTAGTGTACACGGAATTTTTTTGGAAGAGGATAGAGGGAAACTGTGTAAGAAAATTTTTGGCAAAGTATCACACAGATATTTAGCTGATTTTCTTTCCAGCCTGTAGCACGTCTGGCAAACTGTGGAAAGCAAAATTAAAATAAACTTTGAGACAATTGCTTTATCATCTTCAGATTGCTATAATGACTTTCCAGCACTGCAGAATGTGTTTTCTTCTGGTCCTTAATTCAAAATGAGAATTAGCTCAGGAAATTCATTGCCAAAGCACATGCTAGCAGGCACGTGCTTAAACAAAAGTTGACATCCTTACCTATGTGGTGAGTCTTCACGTTTGTATTGGAAAGTGTTAAAATAATTTCTCTCCTTCTGAAGTTTTGCCAGAAGTTTCCTCACTTTATTTTTCTTTATATTATAGTCTCCTTCAGTAAAGGAATTCAGTTTAAGTTACATGTTTGAGACAGTACAGTGTTCATAAGTAGTAAACAGCTTAGTAAAGGAGTTGGTTCTGGGGAGGGAAATTCGGTCAACATTGCAGATCTGAGTTACAGTATGCTCAAAAATAGGTAGTCAGTGTTGTTTCCTATGTTGGCTATAAAAAACCCAACACTGGAAATAGCATGGAGTGTCCTTTTCCCTGAAACTATTGCAGGAGGAGCCAAAATTAAAAGGTTTTCCTTCAATTCTGTTCTCTTTATGCATATCAGTATAGATTGAAGTTGTATGAGCTTTGACTGTATCTTGTAATTAAATTGTTTAGACATTCTTTAATTAGAATTTGTGATCTCACATATACACAAAATAGTCTCACTTTAAAGAAGACCTAATTTTTCCATGAGAATTTTGAGTAGCTCACTAGAAATTAAAGATATTGCTTTTTGGTAGCCTTTTTTCTTGCAATCTGTGCAGGCGTATTCACTGCAAAAGAATGAAATACAGCCCTAAAATCTGAAGCAGTATGCATGGATGAATCTGAAGAAATGGTGGTATTTTATGGAAAATACACTTAGCAATCACAGTTGCCTTAGAGAAAAATGGGACCTGATCAGTGGTCCTCATGTCAAAATTTCTTGCATTCAGAATGTCTAAATTTTTCTCATCCTGCACTTTCTAGTAAGTATTATTATAGGCAATAGAAATGCTTCCATTCCTCTCATTATAACGACTACAGAGATGTAATTTTGTGATTTAATGCAACTTGAAGTAGGAAGATGGTTTATTTTCATCTTTTACAGATTCTTGTTTTCATCTGTGTACAATGAAACCTGTAGAGGCCAAAATTATTCGATTTGACACGCAACAGACAAAAATAAAAGCTCTTTGCTTATCTGTATTTCTGTACTGTACTAGAGATGCCATTGTTATTCAGAACCTTTGTCATAGTATTCTCGGTAGTTTCTTTTGCATGTTTATTCTTCTGTGTCTTCAGAGGTCATTAGGTTTTCTAAGCATTTGGATCTGCTTGCAGTTTCCAGTGCAAGGTAGCCTAAATGCAATATCATTAGGTGCACAGTACAAACAAAACTGAATTCTAATCATGAGGACAATCAGTTAATGATGCTAAAGTGGAAGGCAGTACCTTCCACTGTTCCTCTCTGTGGCACCCAGTAACATTGCTGCTCACCTTGCAGTGTATTTCTAAGCACATGGGTCCAATGCAGCAAAACAATAACTGCACCTGTCAGACTTTAAAAATAGATGAACAAAGGCATCGTTTTGCAGGTGGAGTGAAAGACAAGTTCTCAAAATAAGTAAATAAGATGATAATTCTAGAACAATATTACTTGTGAAAACAAGCACATATGTTCAGTGTTGCTATGTTTGGAGATACATAAGTGGTGAAGTGAAGTGTGTGCAGTATGTTTCCATGCAGGGGTGGGAGAAGGTTTATGTTGCCGTGGGTCTTATTTTATTTTAATTTTTTTTGAGATATTTATTTCTGTATCCCATAGAAAGTGGGAGTCCAGAATCTCGAGTCAATGCTGTTCACTTCTTGGTCCACAAGCTCCCAGAAAAGAACAAAGAGATGCTGGAAATTCTGGTGAAACATTTAGCAAAGTGAGTGCTATGACCTGCTTTCCTACCTACCTTGTCAGAATTCTTGTCTTTACTATTCTTTGACTACAAAGGGCTTTAGTGAAGTGTGGCTGGAGCTAAAGCCCATTTTGATGCTGTCATCCTCAGCCCCAAGAACCAAACGTGCAAAAGCAGACAAGACATTTGACTCACGCTGTGCATATTTTGGCGGGAAAGGCAGAAATCTAAGCCGTTAATGAAGCCATAGAAGTATTTACTTTAGCAGTCCTGCCAGCAGCTGAGGGTTTGATTGAAGTGAGAAAGGGAACATTATACTTTCTTTTCGCAAATTCTGGCAGAGGGAATAGTGGAGATCTGTTAGCAAATTTAAGTTGGTTTCACACTTGCCCTGGTCCAAGGCTAAGCGCATTTTATATATTTAAGTTCAGTAAGAGACTGGTTTTGTTTTTAAGTTGCCACTGGAAGAAGGGCTTTTCAGTTTTCCAGAATTTAGTAAGACTTTATTTGAAGAAACTTTGCACAAAACAAACTTCTAAAACATAGATTAAGGAAATGCAGTGTTTTCATTCGTAGACTGCCATTTCCAGCAGTAATGGAAATTTTTCATAACCCATTTCCTGTTTTTTCCTTCAATTCTTTTCAAAAAGTGTTTCAAAGCATGCCAAGAAGAATCTAATGACTGTGGCAAACCTAGGGGTAGTATTTGGACCAACCTTAATGAGGCCACAGGAGGAAACTGTAGCAGCCATCATGGACCTGAAGTTTCAGAATATTGTCGTTGAAATCCTGATAGAAAATCACGAGAAGGTAAGTTTTGCTGTTTTCACGTTTCTGGGCATTGTCTGAAACAATCTGCTAGCCTTAATGGGGTTAAGCATAGAATTAGGCATGCCATTAAGCGAATAGAATTTACTTCTAAAGAATATTCTCTATACACAGTACGCTTTTGGTTATTTATCCTTGATAATCATTCCTGTTCATAGCTGAACTGACATTTCAGAATGCATGTTTTGTGGCAGTGGTAGTGCTTCTGTGTGCATAGTACACCAGTAGATTTGCATTGGGATTTTTGCATTTGCTTTTTTTCTGAGCAAAAGTGATGCAAAATGAGAAAAGAGCCTGGGTTCAGTTTCTGGCTCTTCCATCAAGTACTTTGACCAGGGTCTGAGTTCATTGTTTTATGTTTCCATTTTACCTCAAAATAAAAAAGAAGACACTACTGTACTCTAAATTTTATGTAAAAAGCACGAGAGAGCCAGGTATTAACACTTCCTTTGTTTTCAGCTGAATGTGTGTTATTTTAAGCCTTTGTATTTGAGGTAGTACTGAAAATAGAAATTGTTGTTGTTGCTATTACTAAAGTTGCCAGTTACTAGAGTGCCTCACATGTACAAGGTACTGTCCAGGACATTACTGCATGTAATCTGGGATCTGAAATTAAAAATAAAAATAGTAAGAAAGTAATTCACTTGTCTCCTTATTTGTGTACTCTTTTGGGAGTCCCTTGTGTCTAGGTTGACTTCTCTAACTGGATGTTTAAGGTACTTTGTACTGAGAGATGGACAGCATCTCCCTAATTCTTACTGTCAAAAAAAACAAAAGTGCTTTGGAAAAATCCCAAGATGTGCTTCTTCCTCTCTCCTTTCTTAAGCACTCGGAGCATTGAAATTGTTATTTCCTTTAAAGGTTAACGGTGTTGAAATTGGCTCTTTAAGTCAAGTGTTATCTACTCTAAATAATATATGTTTCAGGCTTTTCTGACAATGTAATTATGCTCCCTCCCTGATTGATACAGGCTGGGCAAAGCTGCTGTTGGCATAGCTGTGTCCACATGGTGGCTTTTGTTGGCTTAGTTGACTTAGGAGTGTAATGCTGTCCTCACACGCACACTGAGCAGATATGGCATTGTTCTGTTGGAAAAAACTGGGCTGCACATGTGGCTCAAGTTCTAAGCAATAAATATTCCAAGAGCTGTAAGCCATGGTATTAATTTTGGATCTTAGAAATGAAAGTAAACCTTGCAGTTGAGCTCATGATTTTAATGCTATTGAGGTGACCACACAAATTAAAGGAAGTTGAGAGAGAGCAAGCAGAGCCAGGATGTTTTAATAACATGTGGAGGTTGAGTTGTGTTTATTCAAATCACCACAGATTAACACCATCCTATTCTTATGCCAGCTCAGTCACATGTCTCTTAAAACTGGACACTAGTTTTACTTTTGAAACATTAGTGGCCTTTCTTGCTCCTCTGAAAATGTGGAGAAGTGAGGAATGGAAAGTACATCAGTATAATACTGCATCATTTTCCATAATTTCTTGGTTTTATGCCTTCTTTAGAACTAGAAGGGTATAATTTTTTTAAGGGATTTCTGTCATTTCACTGCCAATTCTAACAGTGAACTTGTCATCAGTGGTCTGCCTGCAGCAACCTCTCCCCTTCTAGACCTGCTTCCAAAATGGAAAGCAGCCCCAAGTGTGACCTCTGTGTGTTTATAACAAAGGCGATGGAGAGGTGTGTTGAGGCATTACAAAAATATTATAGTCAAACGGAGTACGCTGATTTTACAAGTGACATTTCTTCGTTTAAGGCAGACCAAGGACCTACTTTTAAAGGCAAGCAAGGTCATTGCCAGTCTAATGTTCATTTTATGTTGTTATTTTAAATTTCTATGCATTTCAGACTTTCTGAGAGTCTTGCATTAAATATTTTTATTTATAGCCCAGGTGAAGTCCTAGGAAATGTCACTGGCTGTGGGTTAAAATATTTTAATATTTTGTTCAGCCACTACTCCGACTCAGCTAACTTTTAGCAGCATCTGCTGACAGGAGCAAAGTTTGGAATTGTAGGAGAGTGATGGAGTCAAGATGGAGGTGCACTGACCCTTCACACTCGGTGCACATGTAATTTCCAGCTCTGGTACTCTGCAGAGAGGCATTTCTTTTCCCCTGTAGCCAAGGAAATGACCAACAAACTTTCCAACTGTAGAAGCAGGAGCCATCAGCATTTCTGATATAAATATGGAAACTTGGTAGGCAGAACAGTAAAAAATGGTTAGGATTTTTAAATTCCATCAATTCCCATTATGTGTTTTGTGGATAGCTTTATTGAACGAGAACCACTGTTCATTGGGTTACTGGCTTTGAAATCCTGGTGCAGTATCATCCAGTATCATCACTTTTTGTTCTAATTAGAGAATTTCTGTGCAATGAATGTGTGGAAACCTGAACACAATGACTTACCCTAAGATAAGAGTATCATGCTTAGTGAATAAGCTGGTTTTGTTGTTTATTTTTGGGGTTTTTTGTTTGGTTTTTTGTGGGTTTTTTTGTGGTTTTTTTTTTGTGTTTGTTTGTTTGTTTTTTGTTTGGTTTTTTGTTTTGTTTTGTTTGTTTGCTTGGATGTTTTTGCTTTTTTGTTGTTAAGCTTTGTCGGTATGTACATCCTCCTGGCTAGAAACCAGTCAATGCCACTTCCCCCTTGTTTACAGGCTGCATATGTACATCCAATTCATGTCTGTGAACCAGTTACAGTGTGTTGAGGAGGGGATGTTTTGCAAAATGCTGAGATTGGAACACTGAAGCTAGACCATTCAGCCTGATGTGTTGCTTAAATGGCATTAAATTGCACAATGATTAAGAGTAGGAAGGGATAGAAGAGCATCAGGGAGGGAACTGTTTAGCTTTTGTCAGTTCTAGGAGGGTCTCTGTCAGGCAGAGTATTTCACAGTGCCCACCTAGAAGGTGAGCTACACAAGCAGATCTCTGCTTTGTAAGAAAAAGACAAAAACTAGACCCAAGCTGAGATATTTTACTCAGGACTGTCAGAACCACCTGCTATGGAAGCAAGGACAATCCAGAGGATAATTAGACCCATAAAATGTCTTGCTTTGCTTCTGTCCTATGGCTATAGGGGAAGGACAGCCAGATAGGGGAAGGATAGCCAGATTTTGTGTCCTGTATTTTCCCCTTCACTAAAGAAGCATCAAGGAATTCATGTTTGTGTCTCATCATTATGTTTGTTTTGCTTTGAGGTAACAAGCTCAGGAGCTGACTGCAGCTGTGCTTGTACAGTGCCTGGAGCAATCTTGGCCTTTAGGTAATCTTCTAATGAAAAGTTAGTCAACTTGGCCCCCAAAAATGGTTTTGATTTCTCTTTGCCTCCTCCAAATGAGTTTCTAGGGTTTCAATTAGTTTTTCTTCCCATGGGCTTAACAGATTGGAAATTTTGGACATTTTAGTTCTTCTGATTGTTTCTCTTTCTTGTGGTGAGGAAGAAGGTTGGTCCATGCCACGGCAGCATGAAGAGCATGCACACATTTATCTTGCTGTTTGTTGTAGAGTTTATAGTGTATGCTATTGGAGTGAATGTCACTATTCAAAGGGCTTGTTTATTTGCCATTTAGAGATGCCTCAGTGGTAATGTGAACCATTTTGGTTTCTCAATTCCCTGAATATTATTTTAAGGACAAAAAAGGCACCAGGATAAAAAAAAGTCTAAGAAATGAAAGAAGATGAGGGAGGAGGTTGGAATAAAAATCTCAGTGGGACTGGAATATTTAAACCAGCATATGGGGGAGGAAAGAATAGTGAGTACAAATAGCAAGATTATAAAAACAGAAAGAAGATTAAGATTACGGCGAAAGAAAATTAGAAGGAAAAAAAGCGAGGGGCTAGACCTAGAAGCTCCTTCTGGAGACTGGAAGACCAGAATCTGAGGAAAAGGAATAGGCTTATGTAAAAGATACCTTTTTCTCAAATCCAAACAACCTATGGGCACAATTATCTCAAAGACACTCAAGCTGAAAAGCTCAATATTTCCTAAATATAGGGCAGATACCTTTTCTCTATCAATCTTTCTATAAAGGGGAAAGATTTTACATATTTTAGACAAAATGTCTTTGGCTTAGCTTTGATATGTTGAAATTAGTTTTAAGGGGAATTTTTTAAATGAAATGCTTTTTTTTTTTCATACTTTGGGCACTTTCATGATTTCTTTTTTAAACTAGAAAAGGAAGAGAAGAATTTAATACTGCTGAGCTCTTAAGCCAACATCAACTTCATGTAGTAATCCTTGAAAAATCTTGTCTTAAAACATATTACAGTGCATAATGCATGCAATATTCGTGAGACAGAAGGAATGGAAGCGGTGAAGTCAGTTTGTTTTAGAGCATGAAGCAGCACAGTCTCCCCTTGGCAATCCAGCAGCTCTGTTGCAGGTAAATGCTTCAGGGTGGAATGCCACGCCACCAGATAAACTTAAGACTGTTTTTTGGAACAGAGCAGATCTTTTGAAGGGACACATGAGAGTTACTGAAGAAGGTTTGTTTCAGCTTTCCTGTTGCTTTGCCTTTGGCTGCAAAGGGGGACCAAGAAGCAATGCAGTGCAATTATAGTGGTTCGCTGTGGTGCAGCAATTTGAAACCTCCACAAGCTGAATGTTTCTCAAGTCAACAAACGTTGGACTTGGAGGGGGGAAAAATGACATTAAAATATCTCCATTCGCACAGAGTTTGTGGTAAAAACACGTGAGGGTATTCAGGAGGGTATTCAACACATGCTGAACTTGAAGCATGTAACTCATCAGAAGTGTCATTGAAACTGTTAGTGAACTTAATTTTAATTGCATGCCTTAATCATTGGCTGAGTCTCAAGCAGAAAGGGCAACAGACACAACAAAGAAGTTCTAGTAGGAATCAGAGCAGCTCTTTTGTTCCACTGTAGTGTGAGCAAACTCTTTAAATCCTTTCTCTGCCCTGTAGATAGCATAAAGCCCTTCCATGTAAGACACATACGTGTGGTGGTTAATG